GAAACTAGCATGCGATGACAGGGATCGCGCCTTCCTCTGTTTACCGTCCGAGCGCAGGCCCAAACAATCGATATCCGACATCCGCAACACCAACGTCAACGACAACGACGACGCGCTTGTGCTTTTGGCCGCGCCGGGGTATGCTTTACTGTTATCTTTCCCTTCGCTAGACGTAGGTACACACAATTCAATCATGGATACTGCCAACGAGAACACTGTACGTATCCCCATCCCTTGCCCGGCTCGAGTCTAATCTCAACACCATTGTAGGGTATCGCGAAGCGCTCGGGCATCAAACCGCCGTCTACCTTCTCCCACATCACCTCGCCGCCTCCTAAAGCCCTGGGCGAATTGCACGAAGCCGGCGCGAACGCACGCAGTGGAATGCCGATACCCACGGCGAAACACAAGCCCTCCGGCTGTAAATTGCCCCTCTCCATACCAGTCGCACCGGACAGGTCGCTGACTCTCCCAGTACCCGAGCCTGCATTCAAGCAACGGAAGACGCTCGCAGAGCAAGCAGGCGAGCCGATTTCTCGAAGAATACCCCCGCCGCCCAAGACGTCGAATGGCATCAAAGGTACCCTGGCACGTGGACTTGCAGCGTCCACGTCGCGCGCTACTTCGAAGCCGACAGCGAGAAATCCTGCCGCCTCCACGCTCAGTGGCAGTGTTGGTGGAGCTCCCAAGACTACCGGGGCTGCGAGGCCAAAGTCAGCCTACGGCCACGGAAGCCATGTTAGGAGCAAGTCCTATCAGCAAGGGCCGCGTCCGGCGACAGCAATGCTGAGCAGAGATGGCGATGACGACAGTGAGCAAGCAGAGCGCAAAGGTGTGCAACCATTTCTTATGTCTACGAATTTCTACCCCAGTGCAAGAGTGCCTGGTGGCATGCTTCCTCAATTGAAGAAGCGCACAACCTCACTCAGTGTATCCGAACAGAGAATCGCTCGTGTGTCAGGTCCGCGAGCGGTCTCATCCCCTTCCCACTTCCGCCCCGTCACTCCGGTCATCGAAGAACCCGCCGACACCGACTGCGACGACATCTGCACCGCTGTTGGCGCGCTCACATTGGGCACGGCCAAGGCAGACGTGCGTGGCAGTCAAGTCGGATGTGGTATGACTTCTGACAACGGGACGAATCCTTTCCTGAAGCCAAAGAAACCCCAGTCCCATCTTCCCCAGCCTACACCTACACCTGTTCGGCAGCAGCAGGTAGACCCGTCACCGTATCGACCTCCATCTACGCCGCGCAGATCAGCACAAGCACCTTTTCTGAATCGCTTCACTAACGATCGCTGCCCAGACTTTTACAACGACCGCATGGAGGCTATGGAACGCGATTTCCGCATGTTCAAGGAGAAGATGGAAACAGACGTGCGACAGGCTACTGACTACAAGGAGTCGATCCAACAACTTCAAAGTCGCGGTATGTCATGAAATCTGCTTTTCAGTCTCGCCTCCAGTCAATTACACACATGCTAACGCCGTTTCCGATAGTCACGGAACTTGAGGCCATCCGCGCGCGCTTAGAAATCGTCAACAAAGGCTTGGAGTCCGAGCTCGACGATACCCGAAGTTGCTTCAAGTCAGTAAAGATGGAACTCGAGATGATGCAACAGAAACACACATACGAAGTCGACGATGTACGGCGAAAACTACGCAACGAAGTCGAAGACTTGGAGTCGCAGCACCGGAAGGACACCGACCGAATGCAGAGGGAACGAGATGAGGCAGAAAGGAAGATGCGCAGCGAATTTGACGAACGGATCGACAAGCTGCTGAAAGAACACAACGAGGAATTAGCTGGCTTACGGAAGAAGCTGGACGCCGACACCGAGTCGGAGCGAAGCAGGCGCGCACAAGAAGCACAAAAGATCGAGGAGGAGTATGGTTCAAAACTCCGAGCGGCTGCTATGGAAGCAGACACGAAACACCGCGAAGCGCAACTTGTCCAGGGCGAGCTCACCAACGTCAAATCCGAACTCGATCGTGAGAGGATGCTCAAGAATGGCCTCCAAGCACAACTTACAGAATCGACTACTAACAACCTCACATTGGATGCGGCAAACAAGGCAATGATGGAGAAGATTAAATTCCTTGAGTCAGACAGCCAGCAGCAAGCAAACTCCTTCAACGAACTTCACAAGCGAATGGACGATGCCATCGAGGCTGCGAAAAGAGCGGAGGACAAACTTCGTCAAGAAGAAACACTACGACGGAAGCTTTTCAACCAAGTGCAGGAACTGAAGGGCAACATCAGAGTTATGTGTCGTGTGAGGCCAACCCATGACACAGAACGCAACCCGGCGCAAATCTCGTTTCCTGACACCGATACCGACAGCAAAGAAGTGGCAGTTCTCGGTCCAAGCAAGCAAAGTGCGACTGGCAAGGATATCACCTCCGCCTATGCCTACTCTTTCGATCGTGTGTTTGGTCCAGCCTCGCAGAACAGCGAAGTTTTTGAGGAGATCAGTCAGCTTGTGCAGAGCGCTCTTGATGGCTACAACGTCTGCATCTTCTGCTACGGTCAAACAGGAGCCGGAAAGACGTTCACCATGTCATCGGCTGACGGTATGATCCCTCGTGCAACCGCTCAGATCTGGAACGAAGCGCAGCGATTACAAGAGAAGGGCTGGACATACAACATGGAAGGTTCTTTCCTGGAAGTCTACAACGAGACATACAACGACTTGCTTGGCCGCTCAGAGGATCTAGATAAGAAGAAGGTAGAGGTGCGACACGATGCGGCGAAAAAGCAAACGATCCTTGAGAACGCAGTCAGTGTCAAGCTTGACGGTCCGAAGAGTGTTGAGGAGATTCTGATGACTGCCGACAAGAACAGGACGGTAGCAGCTACCAAGGCCAACATGCGTTCCAGCCGAAGTCACTCTGTTTTCATCCTGAAACTCGTCGGAACCAACGAGATCACCGGTGAGAGGAGCGAAGGCACACTGAACTTGGTCGATCTTGCCGGATCTGAGCGACTCGAGCACTCCAAGGCTGAGGGTGCGCGTCTCAAGGAGACGCAAAATATCAACAAGAGTTTGAGCTGTCTGGGTGACGTTATCAACGCTCTTGGGTCAAAGGAGGGTACACACGTACCGTACAGGAACTCCAAGGTATGTTACACAGCGCTGATGTCGAGTGACTCACATACTAACATCTACACAGCTCACATACCTCCTCCAATACTCGCTCGGCGGCAACTCGAAAACGCTCATGTTCGTCATGGTCAGCCCACTACAAGCACATCTCCAAGAGACGATTACGAGTCTCAAATTCGCAACGAAGGTACACAACACGCACATTGGAACAGCAAAGAAGCAGACCAAGACATCGTAGACATGGTGGTCAAGATGTGGGATTGGCTTCGGGCCTTGTGGCTTGCGTACATCGCAGAGTCGGGCGTTTGGTTGTTTTGGCTAGGAAACGAGGTGTTTGCGTATATATCCTCATTTTGTTCACGAGCAGTGGCCTTTGAAGTGTTCGAGGTCAATATTGCTTTTGCTTGGTATATAGCCATGTGGTTCTTTTTGGGAGTCCAGGTAATGTCTGGATGGGGCGCAAGTCGTGCGGGCGTGAAGCTAGCATGCCGGCGTTTTGGGGTATCTTTTGGTAGCTATGTGGGGAATGATGAGCCATGCTTTCTTCAGATTTGTTCTTTTGGTGAACGAGTCGTGCCTGTGAGAAGTATATAAACGTCCTACGCAGTGTGCTTTCCTTCTTCTTCCTGTCCACCACTCTATCTTAGCGATTTACCAAAATGCTGAGAGACTGGCAGCATGTGTCTGGACAGCTTCGGTCAAAAAGAAAAAACATTATTTCCATCGCATGGTGATATCACATTGCCATCGGGCAACCAATAAAACTGGAGCACGAGTCTATGTCGTTCTCCCTCTGTTTCTTCAAGGGAATAAGTAATTGGTTGGAGGTGGCGACCAGTGCGAGCTACGAAATCGCGTCACTCCAATCAGTTCTTTTCAAAATACGTCGATATTATACAGGACTTGAGTTCACCTAAAACGCGCTGGATGCGCACCATGTGCTGCTGGAGTGGAGCATCTACACCCTCTTACAATCTCCGGAGTTTAAAACCAGCAAGCGATGTGGACATGTTCGTCTTTCCTCGACTGTGCGTACGAAAGGCCGTATCACCCTGCCGACATCGCTCTTACCTTCCGGCGGGTCAACGTATAAAAGCACCGCCCCTGCGGCTCTGTCTTCCTTCCAACACCCTCTCCATTCCAAAAACATGATTTCCAAAAGGCAATAATGAAAAGTGTGATGTGCGTTGTCCAGATCTTGGTCTTTTCAATAAAAAAACCAACGTAACAAAGACATGTGCGTTCTTCCACACTCCCACTAGAACAGCATCCGCAGAACCACATATCTATCATGCGAAAATCCTCCAACCTCTTTCTAGAGCTTCGTATTGCCCGTATTTATGCTGTCTTATGGCCGTCACGTCGCCATCTGCGATACCGAGAAGAGAAACGAAAAGCGCCGGCAGTGACTCCATGATTCTTCCACGTCTCTCGTCTTCCTCCAAAACGTCAAAGAATCGGACTTGTGTTCTAGAGGCCAGAAGAACATGAACATCAGTCATATGAGATTGTGGATCAATATGACCGGTATGACGGCACATGTGTGGAGTCGGGCTGGAAACGTCATGAGCGATACGCAAAGCCTGCAGATTTCCATGTCTTCACCCTAAAGCGACTTGATGGCTTCCCAAACATTTACATGCACGAAATCCTGTCCGAGTTCCGTACGAGTATTCCAAAAACGAGAATGAGCTATTTCATGGAGACGAAGAAGGCCGGGCAAAATCCAAAACGCAGCTGATAAAATCGTTGCGATGATGAACATCATCACCATCAAAGACTGCAATTCCTATTATCGATGCTCCAGGGTATCAATATCATGGTATCATCGCTACATATTCTCATATGACGTGGCTGCCAGTACTTGCTGCGAGGCAATCCGCTGCTAATCCCTCACTCCCTCCCCGGGGGCCTCCAATCAAAAAGATCTCCCGCCTCCGTACTCCACGGCCCAACATCCTTATCTACAACCGGACTAGGTAGCTCAACCTCTCCCATATTAGCAGCATCAGGTTGCACATTAGTCTCCACCTGCAGACTCTGCGTCCTCTTGAACTTCCTTCTAGGATCAGTTCGTTTGATGAGCGCATCCAGTCCACTGCTTTTCTTCTTCTTTGGTTCTTCGGTCACGACGGGAGTGATGGGTGGATCGTCTACGGTATCGGCTATGTTGCTGGACGTTTTGGGCAGATTGCGCTTCTCCCAGTCATCTGCTGTGCTGGGTATAGGTGCGTCGTTTTCGCTTCTTACGCGTCTGAAGTTTCGGCTCGGCGACTTGCCTGCGCTGGTTATGTTTGAGACGTCTTCGATGGGGTCGGGAAGGACTTTGGCTAGGTTGTGGGGCTTTTGGAGGAGAGATGCGAGTTCCGTTGTGCTCATCATGGGACCTTTCTTGTTCGCTCGGAGAGGATGCGGCGGAAGAGGTACAGACTCATTACGAGGGGCTGGAGCTGGTTCCTCCTGTACTAAGGGCGTTGCGGCTGATTGCTTTTTGGTTCGCTTCGGTGGCCGCTTAGGGAAGCCGCCGGTTGAGAGTGGGACTTTGCGAGGCGAAGTTGATGATGTGCGTGATTGTGTTTCAGATGCTTCAGTGTGCGCTGGCGAGACGTCTCGTGATGCTGGTGTCGGTGGATCAAGAACCGGTACAGGGGGCGATGGAGCTTTGCGCGTTGATGCAGGCTTCTCCACGACGTTGTTTCGTGGCTGTGCTTTTCGGATTGTCTTGACTGATGGAGGAGATTTTGACTTTGTAGGTTGACGTTTAGCTGGCGGTTCAATCGGTGTCTTGTCCGCCAGTTTCTTGGTAGTGGTAGGCTTGGGTTCGGAGACTGTCTCTGGCAAGAACACGGACTGAGGCTGAGGTGGAGACGAGGGGATTATTAGTTGCTGGTCCATGAGGCCATGTATAACTTCTGGATCTTCGGAAACACTCGGTGATGGAAGCGGGGGAGATCTGGAGACTCTGGCTCTCTTTGGTGCGAGACTATCACCATCCTGTGCCTCTGTATTTCTTCGCTTGGCTTTAGGCACCCGTTTCGACGCTGCAGAGGCGACCTCTTGTGGCGGATTACTGTTCTGTGATATTGCAGGTGATGGCTCCTTGCTCGTGACGCGTGATACCGGTCGAGCTCTGACGTTGGAACTGGTCACTCTGGCCTCACTAGCTGCCCTTGTGGTCTTCTGAGGCAGCGACTGACACAGCAAGGTTCCGCGCTTTACACCCGCCGACAATCGAAGAGATTTTGCTTTGCGGTTAGGAGGAGGCGAAAGTGGTGGCGGAGTGGGGTCTTTGGGTGGCTGCTTTGTTGGTTGTAACGCGAAGTCGACGTTCGTCAGGCGATTTGAGGCGCTCACTGGAGGTGAAGACGGTGGCGCTCGTTGCTTCGGAGTCTCCAACGCTCGTACACTGGGTACTGGCACCTTGCCTTTCGGTATTCTTGGGGTTTGTACGGGTGGCTGCTGAGGTACAGCGGGCTGTGGTGCTGGGGTATGAAGTGCGCTCGATCGTGCTCTTGCTCTGGCAAGTTTCGGGGGTGTGCTCGGGAGAGTGACGTCGGACAAGTCCGCCGGGTGAGGATCGGACTCGGACTCTATCGTGATGACAGTCGCTGTCGGCGGTATGAACTTGGCAGGTTTCCGAGCGTTCGCTGTGTCTGACGGTTGTACCTGTACAGCCGAGTCTCTCTTCGCTATGGGGCTGTCTTCTTGGACTGGGCTAGATGCTCTCCAGTTTGTGCGTGGCTGGCTAGTCTTTTGTCTCTTCGGGGTGGGTTCCTCAACCAGTTCATTCTCCTTTTCCTTGCGAGCCTCGTATGGAGATTTCATGGGCTGAGCCTTTCCAATTGGCCCTTTTGGTGTCCCAAGCAGTGTATTGAGCGATTTGTGGCGCAGTTGGGATGCACTTCGCTGAGCATTAGTCGGTGCCACTGAGGATGGCCTCTGGAACGGTTTCGGCTGGGAAGGAGCGGTCGGGCGGGGTGGCGGATCTTTCGTTTTCTTCTCAAGTAGTTGGGTCAGATCGGTATGTGTGATGCCCATGGCCTCGGCGACCTCTACTAGAGCGCCATTGTTCAGGCTCAGTTCGTCGCCCTCCTGCAGCTCGCTGCTGTCTTTGTGATAGGTATCTCCCAGAAAATTCCTTGCCTGGTCATATACCATGACCCGGCTATTGAAGGTATGGAACTTGAGATAGCCATCCTGCCACCGCTTCTGCTTCCTCTTGACGTCTTGTGTATAGAGGCAACGAAATTCTGCCACGGGCGCGCTGTTCTGGGAGGCGGTGATCGCGGCTATGGCTGAGGCATGCTGGGTATTACGAAGAGGTGCCGTCATCGCGTATGCATTCGGTCGAGACGCGTCGGGAGGCGCATGGGCGGCATAGGGCGGGGTCGTCGTGAGGGTGAAGGTCGAGAGATGTGACGGTGACGCGCCTCGGCGGAACAAACCGCGCCTGCTGTTCCGCGCGCGAGCACGTGGTTTAGCGCCTGCAGACTACGGCAGCGGCTACCCAGCCCTAAGACCCTAATGCCTTGAGCTTTCACCGGAAATACACCAGGGGTACGCGTTTTCCCAAGCTTTTCCACTTCAGTCATAACACGTCTTCGTACCCGGCGGCCCAACGCTGGGTGGCCTTGTACCATGATGCCGTCCGGTCCACAGCTGACGGTACCAAACGCGGGCATCAGGTGTAACCGCAATCTTGAATTCGCTTCCCGCGTCGAGGAGGGGACCTGGCAAATCACTCCTCCCCGCGAGGCTTTCACACTCCACTTTAGACAGCTAATCGGTCTAAGCGGCCAGCGAATTGTCGCGACAACCTGGTGCGGGGCCCTTCGGTACCCCTGCTTACCCTCACCTCAATTAACACACAGCAGTGAGCACAGCCACCGCTAGTCGACGCGCAAGCATTACCTACTGCCCTCCGCCCATAACTCGTATTATTCTGTCCTTCTTACCTCAGGCCTGCGTCGCACACGATAGCTGCCATCACATCGCAAGATGCAGCGCATGCAGAGGATTACCGGGCGTTTCCTTACGAGGACGCCCAACGAGGCCGATGTCGAGGCCATGCTGAAGGACTTCACCGACTCGCAGGTTATGTTGGAAAAGGTACGTCCGGTGTGGCTTAACATCTCACATTGCTCGGTCCTATGAACTAGTGGGGCCAGCCATCCAAACCCATCACATCCAGTTCCAACCACCCACGTCAATCGACTGCTATGCATGCTGTGTGTGGCACACGAGTCGAGTATACACGTTGGCATTGAATCTCCAACTAACCCCCCTCTCAGCTCGAAGCGTCAGCGAAGCAATGGCGGGACGCGTGGACCAACATCCTCAACCACCAACTCACGTCGGTCGAGCTCATATACGCCATCTTCAAACCACTCGGCGGCGAAGGCTCCAACAGCACCCATGCCCATGCCGAAACCCCACCTGCGGTCCTGGAGCGTGTCCATGGCCTACACGAGGCCTTTTCCGAGCTGAAGACCGACATGATGGAGGAAGTCAAGGACATTGACAGGAAATTGGTCATCCCAGCGAAGCTGGCTCGCGACGCCTTGAAGCCCATGGAGAAGGCTATCAAGAAGCGCGAGGATGCAAAGGTCAGTCAGCCTATAGACCACGCTGTGAGCCATGCTGACCACGCCATTGCAGGTCGACTATGAGCGCTACAAAAGCCGCTGCGAAACCCTTCAGGCCAAGAAGACGCGCTCGGAACGCGAGAACAGCGCTCTTGCCAAACACGAAGTCGATCTCGAGCGCTCCACACACGCATACCAACTCGCCGACGAGAACCTCCGAGACCGCCTGCCACGCCTGAATGCCGCAACCTTCTCCATTCTACCACATCTCCTCGCGAACCAGATCGTGCTACAAAACAACCTGATTGGAAACTTGTACACTGTACTACACCAGTACTCACACGAGCAAGGATACCCCGATCCACCACCAGAGCCAGAGGAAGTTATCCCACTATGGGACTCCAACTTTACACCACTGCGCCAGGAAATGGAGACCAGCCTGGGCCTGCTGAAGACGGGCAAGGCGGTCCATTTGCCAATGAGACTACCAGATAAGGGAGAGACGTTGACAGGCTTGGGCATTAGGAATAAGGTCATGCCCGGTCGGAGAGTCAGCAGCAGCGACAGTGTGCCCACCATCACAGGAGGCGGAAGACCCCCGCGACCATCCCAGACCTTGTCATCGACCTCCGAGAATGGCCCGCCCATAAGCCTCTCTAACAAGCCCTCATACAGCTCGCTCAGCGCTTCAAAGCCCAAGATCGGCGGTTCACCGCATCTGAGCGCTGGGCAGGGTATGTATGACCGCCGTCTCTCGTCCACATCCCAGGCTTCCTCTTATTCAAATGGAACCAACGGTGATTCTTACTTCAACAACAACAAGATATCCTCTGCCTCGAACGGGTCAACTCCAACCGGCTATCCCTCGTCGCCTAACCCGGCCGCAGGGAAGAAGAAGCCGCCCCCACCGCCACCGAAGAAGATAGCATCTTTCCAGTACGAGTACGTGACAGCCATGTATGATTTTGACAGTCTCACGGATGGCGATCTGCACTTCAAAGAAGGCGACCGAATTCGCGTGATCAAGAAGACGCAAAGCTCGCAGGACTGGTGGCAGGGTGAAGTCAATGGAAAGCAGGGCAGCTTTCCTGCAAACTACTGCAAATGATCTGGTCAATGCGATGAGATGAGAAGGCTGCAATGATATCCAAAACTGCATTAGAAGGTGGCGTTACGGTAATTTGGCACTCTTGACGGCATCACAAGCAGAACGATTAGGAAGAAACTTGGGCAATTCAAATTGAGTAGCTTTTGTTTTCCTGTACAAACTGGGGTTGCATCCGGACTTTGATAGCAGGAGTATGATGGCGTGTAATCCACTCCATGCCATACTCAGGCTTGATACGTGATATGGATGAGACACAATGAATCGAGTGAGGTTGACAACCAGACCGCGCCTTCCAAGGTTCTCTCATGGTGGTGGCTCGGTACCTGGTCGCTACTATTAATAGTGTTGACGAAGCCGCTCACCAATGGGACCCCAGGGCACATCTGCGTCCGTGAGCCAAACTTCAGCTCGAGGCAGTCTAGCCCCCGCCTCCAGCCCCCACATTGCAGTCCGTAGCTCCCGCGCGCCGTCGAGAAGGCGCAGTTGCTGCTTCCCTGCGTCATGAGGTGCCTGCCTGCTGCGCGCAGGTGTGCCTGCATCTATGAGCCTCGTGCGACAGCCGCAGCAGGCTTGTCGGCGTCAAGCGTCATATAGAGCACCGCGCCGCACTCCACTCATACCATAACCCACTATCCTATCGCTAATGGACAGTATGGCTGATAAGATCACAATACAGACGGTAGGTGGAGCCTGACAGCATTGGTATGCGCTGAGCGAATGCTTACAAGTACCAGAACAGCGCTTTGACACCGCCCTTCTCTCCCCGTCCCATCCCACCCCCAACCGCCACCGCTGCCACACTTAGTAGTCCCACATCGCCATCCGAGAACACGCATCAGAATGGGCATATCAATACCAGCCTGGGTCGGACCACGACAGGCCCGCAACCGCGTGAGCCCGTGCTCGACTCGGTCATAGCAATACCGCTCACGGCGGAAGAGTCCCTCCCCACCATAAGCGGCAAGAACAACGAAGCATACCTCACCAACGACGACCCCCGTCAGTTCCTCTTGTACGACCTCGATCTCTCTCGCTTGAACCGCATACATGGACACCTATGGATGGCAGGCCGGCCCATGCGCGCCAGGCCATTGCATAGATACACGATGCTGGGCATGGAAGTGCTAGGCACACAACAAATGGATCTACATCTGCTGAAGTACTCGACGAAGCTTATAGTCAAGCCGTTGCCGGAATGGATGCTCAGCTATGAGTTCTGGCAAGAGTATATCTGCAAGCCTGCGGATGCGGATCCTGGTGACGAGACAGCAAAAGGCCTGTGGGAGAGTGCCGCGGGGTTTCTGGTGAGCTATGTGTGGCTTATCACTACACCGCTGGACTTGAAGATCGCGCACGAGAACACGCTTCTACCGAGCTTTGTCACCTGGCACTGGTGGAAAGCTTTCGTGAAAGATTTCATGGGCCATGTGGACATCAACACGCTACAGAAAGTCAACAAACGCTACCATTTCGGTGATCTCAGGCTGGGGAGGATCAACAGCATTTATCGGACACGATTTGCGCATACGCATTTCGTGAGAGGGTATCTGTGAGTCAATCTTTTGTCCATTGAAAGCAAACGCTGGGGTAGATATGTCTGCTAATACACCTCACACAGCTACGGATACAATCGCTACGTGATCTTCTTCCAGCGAAACTTCTCCTGGATCCTCATCGTGTTCGTGTTCTTTAGTCTGGTTCTATCAGCCATGCAAGTTGGAGTGGGTCTGGAGGAACTCAAAGATAATCACCATTTCCTTGGTGCCACTTATTACTTCGTTGTTTTCAGCATGGTACGTACTCGCATCGCACGAGATGAAACGTTGTGGTGGCTGACTCTCTTCAGATATCCGTGGTCGTCGTACTGGCATTCGTTACGATCGTCTTTATCGGCATCTTTCTCTTCAACATGTACAAGGCTATCACGCATGCGGGGAGTACACAGAAGTGGAGACTTAAGATGTTTCGGAGGAATCAGGAGGAGGGTAAGGATGCTTGATATACGTCGCGATGAGATTTCCATGATTGACGGCGTTCATTTCTTGATACCCAATACTTATTAAATCAGTATTTCAATCCAATCCAACAATCCATACCAAAATTCACCATTCTAACTCTCCTCATCCCGTTCCTTCTCCTTCTCCAGAGCCACAGGATCCACTTCCTGCTTCCGCTTCGCAATCCGGAACATACCACCATGATACCACAACGCCAACACTGCAGCCATCGCCGACAAAGCCGACGGCACAACCATCGCCACTTTCAAAACCACACTATACTGCCCCTCAGGCGCGCTCACCACTTTACTAACTGCCATCCCAGTACCCGCGAGACTGTTAACAAACGCGGGAAAGAAAATCCAATTTATCGACCACTGAACATTTCTCTGGTATTTCCACCATAGGTACAACCAGCCTAGTAGACCGACGCAGCAGGCTAGGGCACAGAGATAAAATGAAACCGAGATCTGTATAGCTGTGGGTGGTGGGTCATCGTGAACATCAGAACAGTCCCAATATTCCTCATGTTCTATGCATCCAGCATATTCGTCGATGGTGTTTAGCTGTGGGAAGAACGATGGGAGGAGGATGTAGCCGAGGAGTGTGAACCAGGAGAAGATCTGTGCGAGGAGTCTGTCG